TCCCTTCTTTCCTCAGCTATTTGCAAAGCTTCCTCAGACAGCCATTTTGCTTTCTTGCATTTCTTTTTCTTTGGGATGGTTTTAGTTGCTACCTCTTGTACAATGTTGCGAACTTCCATCCATAGTTCTTCAGGCACTCTGTCTATCAGATCCAGTTCCTTAAATCTATTTGTCACCTCTACTGTATATTCATCAGGAATATGATTTAGTTCATACCTGAGTGGCCTAGTGCTTTTCCCTACTTTTTTCAATTTAAGCCTAAATTTTGCAACGAGAAGCTCATGATCTGAGCTACAGTCAGCTCCTGTTGTTTTTACTGACTGTATAGAGCTTCTCCATCTTTGGCTGCAGATCACATAGTCAATCTGATTTCTATGTTGACCATCTGGTGATGTCCATGTGTAGAGCCGTCTCTTGGGTTGTTGGAAAAGAGTGTTTGTTATGACCATCGTATTCTCTTGACAAAATTCTATTAGCCTGTGCCCTGCTTCATTTTGTACTCCAAGGCCAAACTTGCCTGTTATTCGGTTATCTTTTGGCTTCCTACCTTAGCATTCCAATCCCCCATGATGATAAGGACATCATTTTTTGGTGTTAATTCTATAAGGTGCTGTAGGGCTTCATAGAACCGGTCAATTTCATCCTCCTCAGCACTAGTGGTTGGGGCATAGATTTGGACTATTGTGATATTGAATGGTTTGCCTTGGATTCGAATTGAGATCATTCTGTCATTTTGGGGATTGTATCCCAGTATTGCTTTTCCTATTCTTTTATTGACTATGAAGGCTACTCCATTTCTTCTGAGGGATTCTTGCCCACAGTAGTATACCTGATGGTCATCTGAGTTAAATTCACCCATTCCTGTCCATTTTAGTTCGCTGATTCCTAAGATGTCGATGTTCAGTCTTGTCATCTCTTTTTTGACTACGTCTAGCTTGCCTTGATTCATGGATCTTACATTCTCCTATGGAGAAAAAATTTTACAGCATCGGACTTTCCTTTCACCACCAGATATATCCACAGCTAAGCGTCCTTTCGGCTCTGGCCCAGTCGCTTCATTCTTTCTGGCGCTACTAGTACTAGCCCTCTGCTCTTTCCCAGTAGCATATTGGACACCTTCTGACCTGAGGGGCTCATCTTCCAGCGTCATATCTTTTTTCCTTTTAGTACTGTCCATGGGGTTTTCATGGCAAAGATACTGGAGTGGTTTGCCATTTCCTTCTCCAGTGGATCACATTTTGTCAGAACTCTCTGCTATAACCTGTCCATCGTGGGTGGCCCTGCACGGCATAGCTTATAGCTTCATTGAGTTACGCAAGCCCCTTCGCCACAACAAGGCAGTAATCCATAAAGGGGATGGCTTATGGTACTGGACGGTTTGTTCAAATTAGTGCAACTTAGCTAACTGTAAAATGTTAAAAACATTTGTATTGAATTAGCATTAAAAAAAATCAACCCAGACATTTTTTCATATTTAAAAGGTGTATAAACTTTTTAACATAATAATTAGATTTAGTCATGGTAGATGAATTGTTACAAATAAAACAATGTTATATAGCACGGGTGTCAAACTCGATCGCATCACGTGACATATCATGATGTTTCGCAACATTTTTGGCCTTTGCAGAGCCAGGGTGGATGTGGCCTGCACATGACGCATCCAGCCCACAAGCCACCAATTTGACACCCCTGATGTATAGAAATAGGAATGGGACCTGGCATTGTTAATAGAGGCATGTTTTGTTTTTGTTGTTTTACTTACTACATGGAGAATAAACTGCTAAATCATGGCCAAACCATTGCCATTAGAATAGAAAGCAGTAGGTTGCATTTCGTAAAATTTGTGAATATTTGTAAAGGTTTCACCCAGTGAAGGAGACCTAATGAGAAAAAAAAAAAATGAAAGCAAATGGTGGGTTGCAAGAAGGAGGAAACATAAAGGATTATTTTGGAAAGGTTACTGGAGAGTTTGAAGGGAAGTTGTGAAGGGAAATAAGGTTTTATGGGTAAAGCTGTTGAGTGAGAAGGAACAAGTATATTGATTTAATTCTTGAGAGTGGAGAAATGATGACGGGGAAGGAACGGAATCTGTGTAGTGTTTGGCTTCCAGCCATATGGAAATTGTGGTAAGAGGCTCTTAGGCTTAGGAGCTTTAGCCAATCCTGTTATAGGTTTTAACTAGCAAAAGATTTGTTGTTCTTAGCTTCCAGAGGCTAGTTCACTGGCATATATCTTCAGTGAATACCTCTAAGACTATTATCGTAATGGAATGGAAATATTTCATACTGAATGTGAATTATTTCTTTGGTGGCACATAACATGAGCAAAAGAGGAAAGCTTGAAGCTACAAAACATTGATAGGGCTAGAGCAGTGTTTTTCAACTTGACAAGTTTAAGATGTGTAGATTTCAACTCCCAGAATTCCAGGGAATTATAATATATATAAATAATGTAATCTAACAGTATTTGCAGGGGCAACCACAAGGTATAGTCAAAATAGAAGGTGGTGTCTATGATGATATGCTCAAAGTTCCACCTGTTTTGTATAGGCACTGCATGTGTGACACACATTTATTTATTTACCAAATTTGTACTCTTGTTAGCTATGTAGGTATAAAATACAACAGATATAAAAAAACTTAAAACCTAAACCAAAAGTAAGATATCAAGCCTGCAAAGCTTCAGAAAAAAATCCATTTTCAGTATTTTTCTGGAAGGCAGAGAAGTTTGGATACAAATAAATATTGGAAAAGGAAATTATTCCAAAGGACCATCATTGAAAAATGGCACTTTTAGACTTTGGCTTTATTTACCTCCCCAAAATGGGAATAACAGATCTTCTCCTAGTAATGATGGCGTAGTAAGGATGGCTATCCTTACAGGTAATCAGATCCCAAACCATAAAATATTTGATAGGTTAATAGTAGTATTTAAATTACACTTGGAGGCTAGTAGGAAGCCAATGCAAAATCCACAGAAGAGGTATTAAAACAGGCAGAGCTTCAATGACATCATCATTGCTACCATCTTTCTTTTTCTTTTTTTAACCATATCTTACAGATATCCATGAGCATTATAAACTGGTTTCAGAATGTAACACAGATGCACAAATTTATGGATAAATAGATTGAAAACAATAAAAGTTATCAATATTATTTAATGTTACAGTCATTAAGCAATCACCAAAGCTAAGCAAATGTGGCAATCAATGAGCATTAAAATGACAGAAAATGGCATTAAATGATGAAACATGTGGTGATGGTGGGATGCTGCAAATGTCCATACATTTAAACCAGTTGCTAAGCACTCAATATATGATCTTGCACCATGTGGTGGAAATGGCAGTCAGAACTCCAGAACCACATTGTAAGCAGCTCTGAGAAGGTCAATCATAACTTTGCTAAATGGATGGTCATTAAACCAGGGTTATCTGTATCATTAAATTCTTCATAATAATCAGTTGGGTTTCTACTTATTCCATCTTAGATCTAGATAAAACCACTATGAAAAGGAAATGATAAACACTATAATCCAACTGAATCCAAAGCAAACTAAGTCAACTGAAAAACCTGATGTAACTGTGTATGTTTGATATCATCTAAATACAAAATTTTTAATATATTCATTGTGATTTTTAAGGAGGGCCTATTCTGAAGCAAGATTTAAGTTGTTGAACTCCATGTTCTTCTACCACTTGGCATATCATGGAGAGGAATGCATATGCGGTACCCCAGCCACCGAAAATATTGCTCACGTTTTGTTCAACTGTCAATTACGTGCCCCTCCCCCTTAATAAGGCATAGATATTTATCCCTATTGGAAAAAACACCAATTGGAATTTGAATCACAGATTTTCTTATTTCCTTCTGGACTTTAATGTATCTATTCTAAGCGGAACTGCTAAGTTTATAATTAAGCCAATTGGGCAAAAACCCCAATACATCAAACAAATAAGGGTACCCCATAAGAGAGGTACATCGGTCTGATAGCTGACTACTTGCATTACCACATTGGTTTTTATCACTGAATTATTTCCTTTTATTTATTTTATCTGGAATCAGATTATGTACTTAATTTTTTTTCTTTTATTAATGAGATTGTAAGAATAATCAATTAAAAACTATTTTAATCTACACTGTGAAAATTCTCTTTAAGAAATTAAGAAATTTTGTTTTTTATTTTTTCTGTATTCCTTTGTTTAATTCTAAAAGATAAGATATTATTTGTTTTATTTCAATTTAACTTTCCTTCTTGTTAGCTTTTTATTTAGAGTGTGTTTTATCTCCTAGAACTGCTTGTGAAAGCTAAATCATTTGTTTGTTCTTGTGTTTGTCTTGAAAAATGTTCCTTCATATTTATAATCATCTGTCTCACAACTTATGACATCATACTAAAATACATCATCTGGAAATATATGTTGTTTATTCCAATATCTTGCATTATTAATTGAATTATGGTTAGATGGATTAGTCTAATTTTGTTTGTAATGTCTTTTACCCCGTGTTCATTCATAACTCCATTTTGTCATATTTGTCACAAATGTATAATTTTTAATTTAAAAACTTAACAAAATAATATTTATGTATTTCCATGATTATGCTTTTTGTATTTTATATCAAAATATTATTTTAATGTACCGTATTTCTTCTTAGTTCTCTATGAATACATCACAAAATTCAGAAAAACATGTAATCCAGAATGTGAAAATCAAATTTTGTTGAAGTTATCTAAATATATTTTTCAAGTATATGTAACTGGAATATTGTGAGAGCGATACTTTTGTTACAGAGCTGAACAATAGATTGTTTCCTGATTAATAAGATATAACCACTAGAGGATACTTTTTACTTCCTGTCTTACAGGTCTCTCTTCCTATAATCTCTTGAGGGACTTCTACTAATACAAACTTGTGTTGTTAGAAAGGTTTAACCATTTGTAGTTGGAAAGATTTGTTCAACCCTTTTCTTATTTTTATAAATGTATTACTATCTTCCTCTCAGTTGGTCCTCACATTGGGCGATATTGTGGACAAAACACACCTGGTCGTGTACTGTCATCAACTGGCATTCTCTCCATGGTTTTCTATACCGACAGTGCAATAGCAAAAGAAGGCTTCTCTGCAAACTACACTGTGGTCCACAACAATATTCCAGAAGGTCCGTGTTTAATCATCCTTCAGAGTGGTGCATAAAATATTCTCTGTCATATCTTCTCTCCTACTGAATGCTGTATGAAACACATGGAAACCATAGATAAACACGACATATGTCCTTTTGTATGCACATGTTTTTAAAACAACCTCTCTGATTTTAAGTGTCAAGAGACATATCCGCTCCTATTTGTAAAAAGTCATTAAGTTATAGAATTCCCATGCCCTTGTTGAAACTGAGAACATTAAATTTAAACAATGAAATCCAGCCTAGATATAAATTGTCCAAGACTTCATAAATTATAATTATTTATGTATAGGGTCTTTCTTCAAGTACATTGTAACCTGTATTTGGCATCTCATTGCTGCAAACACTGAGGAGGAATATCATTGAGATTGGCTTGCAAGATTAGCTCATTTATTTTTTCATTGATAGAATATGAATATAGAAATATGAGGATATATTAGGCATTAAGTTAGAGGCTTGAGCCTTCTAATGAGAATAATGTGCTCCATCGCTTAATTAATTTTTAACCATTAGCTAAATCTGCTCATGATCCATTGGGTCATCATTTCAGAGATATTTTTTACCTAAACAGAGAAACAGAATGACCACGAAAGGGCAACCCCCCCCAAAAAAAAAAACAATGGGAGTGGGAGTAACTTCCAACTTCCTGCTAACTTTCCTTTGACTTTCCTTTGTAGAAAGCTAGCAGGGAGTGTTGGATGCAGATAATGGGACTGCAGATAATTGTGACAGTGCAATAGCACTGAATAGTCACAACTTTGCCAAATTTAAATTCTAGGGGAATCATAGGTCCCATATTTTATATATATTCTGTAAGTTGGACGTACGTTGATCCAACAACTGCAGCATTGGATGCACTATTTTATCCAATGAAGGTTGCAAACAATCAAACAAATACAAGAGTTTTTGTAATATACAGATTTCTCACAAAGCTATTTTTTAGTTTTCATCAATAAAAATAAGAACATGTATTATTTATGCAAACACAGAACACTTTTCACCTTAAATCTGATTACTGAAACAAATATGATCATTCAAAAACTTCATTAAATGTGATGATAGAAGGTAGGTAGTTATACAGAAGTAGATAGAATTAGTGTACAGGTGTTACTCTCTTATTTAATAACAATTAAAATTAAATGTCTTCAGAATGTACAAACTATCAAAATATCATTCCATCCATAGCCCAGCTGAAGACAATGCAATTAAAAAACATGATGCCATGAATAATATTAAAATAATAACAAAAAGCTGAGATTCATAGGGAAACAACATTTCTGACAGTTTTCATTCTACATGTAGAAGGACTTAGCTATAAGTAATGTCAATATAGAGCTAAAGATCAGAGAAAAAGGTAGAAAGAATCAGGAAAAAAGAGGGGGTGAGGGAAAAAGAACTAAATCTAGAAGTAACTATCAATATCCAGGAAAAAAAGAGCACAACCAGGATCCTTCTCTAGCAAGACTAGAAATTACTACTCTAATATAAAGGAGAATATTGTAGCTAAGGGTTGAAATTTATTGTCAGGTTATCTGCATCTCACCCCAGAGTTTTGGCTTGATTTGTTTTCTAAGCAAAATAATGTTAACAAAAAAAATGCTTATTCTCTGTTTTATGGAAATAATTCTTCAGTTAATAAGCTTAAGGGCTCTTGATATGAAGCAGCTTTATAGGATATAACACTTTAAGTTCCAGGAGTTCTTAATTGCGCAATACAAATGCAGTAGACAATATCTAAAACACATTTTCTATTTTCAAAGTAACAATCCTTATCTACATAAACTCCTGGTACAATCAGTTGTAATTTTTCTCTTTGGCTTTATAAAAGATTTCTTTCAAAGTGAAACATGCTGACCAACCAGATCCTATCTGATCTTTTCTAATAAAATTTCAAACATGATTTAAATTGCAATCAAGATTAATTACACTCATCACTTCATTTGTCCTTATGTTATTTACCATTTATTGCTACACAAATACAGAAAATTATGGAAGGTGAATTGGTGTGCCTTAAATAGGCTAACTTACAGAATGTATCCAAAATCCAGACCCATTTGGCAAAGTTGTGGCTACTTCAGTATTGTCACATGGCTGTACCATCGCCACAATTAGCCATGGTCATATGATTGTCATTTCCAGTGCTCCCTGCCAGCTTCCCACAAGGAAAGTCAATGGGGAAGCCAGCAGGACGTTGAAAATTACTCCTGCTTCCACTTTTCGTTGCCCTCCTATAGTCATTCTGTTTCACCATTTAAGTAAGGAAATGTCTCTGAAATGATGATCCAGGTCATGGACTGTCTAGCATAATTTTAAAAGCTGAATCAGAACTATCTTTAAAGTGCAGAAGTTTCTTATTTGTAAAGTAACATAACAATACATAAGTATTCCTGTCTAAAATAAGAATATCAATGCTTGTTTTTTGCTCAGATTTCCAGTGCATGGAACCACTTGGCATGGAATCTGGTGAAATTCATTCTGACCAGATTACTGCCTCTTCCCAATATAATCCCCAGTGGTCATCTGAAAGGTCCCGTTTAAATTATCCTGAGAATGGATGGACACCTGAAATTGATTCTACTAGAGAATGGATACAGGTAAGAAAAATCAAATCATGTTTATAAAAGGTATACAAATTTGTTAGCAGATTTTCAAGGATAGCAAACAGACTAATTAAAATGATAAATAAATTTTCCAGAATGATATTTTTTTCTTTTTACTTTTTAAAAACAATATAGGAAAAAGTATTTAGAAAATATAGATTCTGTTCCTGAATGTCTTCACTCTTTGCCGTCCCTATTAGTTTATATCACAAATATGCTAACTCTCAAAGGTATAGAGGGAAAATAAAGAAAAGGTCAAGAAGATCCATTCTTTTCCTTCTTGCATTTTTTTCAGTCTTCTAGGGAGAAATATCAGATTTTGTTTTAATGAGAAAAGTCAATATTAGCTTAACAGGCACTTAAAGTGAGATGGTCTGATGAAACAGCCTGGCTAGCTTGCTGATGAATGATACTCAAGAGTTGCTTAATATATGGATACCCAAATGAACATTTTACTTGTGACCTATGCTTTTCACAAAATTAGACCAAAGTTGAAATTGTATATACTTTTTTTTGTACACTAGAATATTAGACTTGTGTCCATGACTCAGAAGTGGAGCCAAAGAGCAAACTGCTTTTGTAAATTTAAAAATGAAGCATGAAATGGAAGACTAGACCCTGTTCATCAGAGATGAAAAATAAAGTGAAGAAGTAGTTAATAAACTGGTGGAAAGTAACCTACATTCAGCTTGGCAAAAATGTTTGCACTCTGAAAGAGATATGGTTAGCTTTGTCAAGGCAAAAAGACAAAGCATTTTTTCTTAATGAAACTATGCACTTTGCCTTGAGTTAGTATGGGTCACTGCTGTGAGAGAAAGCTTCTTTCTGCTTTTTCAGCCAGACCTTTCAAAAACGTTTTCCAAGCTGAGCAACTTCAGTAATATTATATGATTCATTGTGCATCATGGAAAAAATGAGGCATGCACCCAAACATTCTAAATTAAAGAGCTTCAACTTGTACTACAGGATTGCCCCACAGTTCACAGAAAATGTCCAGCCAAGAAGAGCTTTGGTAGTCTTGGCAAACTATCAGACTTTGCAGTCTGTGAAAAGTCCCAAAGTGCTTGTTAAAGCCATCTAGAAACGTTTTGGATGGAACCATTGAATTTTTCTCCTTGAATGTCCACCATTGAAGATTTCTCTAAGTCTCCTGTAATGCAATATCTGTAGAAGAAAGCTAAGGGGGTTCTGAAGCAAAGTAACCCAAAGCAACACGGTTGATTTGCTTTCATCTGGAAATGACAACCCACAATGTATCATAAAGAAACTGACATTGTGGGGCCATATCACTTAGTGACTGCAATCCAATCAGTCCTGGTGGTTATTGTAATTCCAAACATATGGTTTTTTAAGTGAGAAAGAATCCCAAGTAAAAACAGCTTTACATGGAGCTGCCCATGAAAAGCATCTGGAAGCTCCAGTTGATGCAAAATACAGCAGCCTGCATGGTTATGTGCAGATCTTGGTGTGCACATGTGTTACCTTCCTGCGGGATCTGCATTGGTTGCCAATTTGCTTCTGGGTGCAATTCAAGGTGCTGGTTGTCACCTTTAAAGCCCTTCATGGCTTGGGACCAGGTTATCTGAGGGACCATCTTTTGCAGTCACATCCATCCAACCCACTAGAGTAGAAGAGGCAAAGAATGTTGCAGGTCCCATCCCCTAAGGAGGTATATCTGGCGGGACCCAGAAAAAATAATAAAAAATAAAAATAATGAAATAACTCCCACCCCGGTGACATTTAACACACGTTCATCCTGCTCTGAGTTCCCCAGGCCTGCTAGCAAAACCTTCAGGGTATTCTCCATGGTGGCTCCGTCCTCCTGCACATCAACCCTCTGAAAGTAGACTGGCCCCCATTCTGACACTCTTTCAGAAGGCCCTGAAGACATGGTTCTGCCAGCAGGGCTGGGAAACCCAGAGCAGGATTAAATGTTACCAGGATGGGAATTATTTCAATGTTTTTATTTTTTATTGTTTTAATTTCTTTTATATTGCGTTTTTACCTCCTGTAAGCTGCCTTGAGCAGGCGGTAATATAAATTTTCCAAATAAATAAATAAAGATGGAGATGCCACAGGTGTGTTGATGAGGCTCTGGGAGACCCAGACTAGAACATATATAAGTTGCAGGAGGGGAGTGCAGTGATGTGGTGCAAGCTCAAGTAGACCAGATAATGAGGACAAAAAGCACACGTGTGTTTGAGCATAGGCAAGAAAAGAGAGCATTGGGTGCATGTGAATAAAGAAAGCAGAGGAAATAAGGCGTGGGATAAGCACATTTATGTGTTTGAGCACTGGGAGGCCAGGAAAAAGGTTGTGGAGTGCATGTGAATGAGGAGTGAAAGACTTACCCAAACAACCTGTAGCCCTTTCCTTCCAATTTTATCAGCAACTGAAATGCAAACTTTCTTTTAATTATTTATGGCAATAAAAAACTATTTGCTTGAATAACGGTAGAGCTGAATCAAAGTAATGCTGCTAGAGCACTGAATGTTTTTAAGAGTTTGATAGAATTCAGAGGCTTAATTAACAGAATATTTTTCTTTTGCACTGTTTAATTAGAACTTTCACTTTCCTCTTTAACTTTCACATTTGTTAGAATACTAATGTAGTGTTGAAAATTTCCAGTAGTTCAAGCAAATGGGGCAATATTTGTGTTTTTATTGTTTTCCATAGGAAATACCTAAGTGACATGTAGGAATAATGCATCATTAGTCATCAATAAGAACATTCATATTCAATGTTTCCTTTGAGATTAGCTATCTGCAAGAAAGCTTACAAACTTTTTTGAGTAGTTATCAGCATCTGGAAGAAAGACAGAGGAAATCTTTCATTCTTAAACTTTTAGTCCACAATGGGACTCTCAGGTGTCCAGCTTTTGAGACCTCAGCACAGCCTGAGCAGTTGAAAAACAGTTAATGGCAAGAAGTAAACATATTCCCACTTTGGTGTGGCAAACCAAAGTCAGTTAATTCTGACTCCTAATGAATAAGTAACAGGAAAATTCAACAAATTTTGCCTGTAAAGAAAAATAAAACAAATTACTTATTGCCAATTATCAACACAGATTTGCATTTGTATTATCATCCTTTCATTCAGAAAAAAAAATATTCAAAAAATACCACTAACTATTGATCACTTTGATTGTTATTATTGTTTTAAATCTTGGTGGGTTGTCCATTTTCCCTCATAAACTTATGAAGAGGCTTCAGAAGGGGCAATGGGGAAGATTTTATTGAATTAGGGATGCTCGGTTTACTAATAGTTGCTCTCCCTCCAGATGGGAGATGGAAGGGGGGCATGGGTATTTCATAGCTCACCTGTTACTGTTCATTATTTTTTATCCTGGTTGGCCAGAAGTAATCAGAAGATGGTAGAAATGTTTGATTGTGGATAGAGAATGGTTATGGGCCTGGGACTGGGGTGCAGAATGCAAGGCACAAGCCTCCTTGATACCGGTACCCCATCTTTTAAATGGAAGGTTTCACTTGCGAGTGTTTAAGAAGAAATGTATGTTGGGGGGGGGGCTTAAAGGCAAGCAATAAGATATCAGTAGTGATAATTAAGGGAGGAGTGGCCTGGTGGCCTGGTGGTGAAGACGCTCACCTCCCAGTTGGAAAGTTGAGAATTCAATCCTAGGTAGCAGCAGATATTTCTCTTTCAGGACATGAAGAAAAAAAATATCTGCTGCAAACTCCACATAGGCGTCAGGAAGAGCATCTGGCTAGTTAACACTCAGCTGTGTTTAATCACTGTGATTCTACCGCAAATTAAGGGACTACAGCATGGGTTGGCAACCTGCGGCTCTTTCAGCCATCTCCTGTGACTCCCTGTCCTCAGCTACTATGTGCAGTCTGAAAAAAAAAGTGGGACTAAAAAAGTTCAACCAATCAATTCAAACTTCTCATATCTCATTGTGGGCAGTCCCACAAACCTCTTTCTTTCTTCGTACTGCACATGGCCAGGAGGATTGCTAGTAAAGTGTCCCTGATAAGGAGCCACGGGTGGCCGGTCTCAGGGTACCTCTTTCCTACCCAACGGGTCTCCCCTCGCCCTGCTCCGCCGCCGCCTCTGTTAGTCGGGAGGGTCACCGGGGGTCTTCTGGAGCTTCCCCTCTCCACCTGCGCCTTTTGGCCCTTTCCCCTCCTGCTGCACAGTCCTCTTGGCCGCCCTCCCACTGCCGCTGCTGCAGGTCGCGCTGAGCGAGGCGGAGGCAAGTGGGCAGCCGCGCCACTTCACCGTCCTCCCGCTGCCGCCACTGCAAGAGAAGGAGACCTTGGGCTGCGAGGGCGGCGGTGGGCCGGGACGTCCCCAGGGCAGCATTCTCCGTTGCCGGCATGGCCGCCCATGGTGCACCTGGCCTTGGTGCCCTCCTCTTACGATGGCAAAGTGGCTGAGGATGCGGCGGGGGTGGCAGCTGGGCCATGCCACCGCCACCGGAGCCGCTGCTTCCTGTCCTGCTCCCCTTCCCCACCCATTCGGCTGAGGACACGGCAGCCAGGCCACTGCCACTGGAGCCTCTGCCTCCCATCCTGCTCCCCCTCCTTGCCTGTTCGGCTGAGGACGCGGCAGCCAGGCTGCTCCACCGCCAACCGGAGCCGCTGCCTCCCATCCTGTTCCCGTCCCCGCCCGTTTGGCTAAGAACGTGGTGGCCAGGCCACGCCACCACCAACAGGAGCCTCTGCCTCCTGTCCTACTCCCCCTCCCTGCCCGTTTGGCTAAGAACGCAGCAGCCAGGCCGCACTGCCACCACCAGAGCTGCTGCCTCCCATCCTGCTCCCCCTCCCAACCCGTTCAGCTGAGGATGTGGCGGGGATGGCACTGGGCTGCGCCGCTGCCACCGGAGCCACTGCCTTCTGTCCTGCTCCCCCTCCCCACCCATACTTTGTATAAATTGGAGTTTTGTGCCACAGGCACTTTGCTAAATTTTTTCTGTAAATATCCTATATATCTGGGAAGGAAATCTTTGATCCTCCAAATAGGATTGAACTACA